GGCGGGGGCGGCGGGAGCACTGTGGGCAGCTGGCTGGGCATGTGTTGGGGCTGGGGCTGTGCACCGTCAGAGCTGGCACTAGGGGAGAACCGCGACCCGGGTGAGGCAAAGGTGGGAGGCAGGCGTGGGGTGGGGGGACCCCCCGAGAGGGCTTTCCTGGGTCACGGCTCGTTGCCGGACACACGCGTGCAGGTACATGGCTGCGTTTCCTTGCAGGCCCCAGGACCCGGTCGGGCACCTGCTTTCAGCCCTGGGTAGGAAATGGCCGGCGAGCAGGGCGACTGTTGTGAAATGCAATATGGTATTAGGGCGAAAGGGCTGTCGGGAGTAAATCTCCTCTGTGCGGGCTGCCCAGCTGAAGCAGAGCAAAATGACCTCGGGCAAGCCGCGGCCCGGGAGCCCGGCCCCTGGGAGAAGCGCCCGCTCCCCGGTGAGCCTCTGGGCCTGCGGCCTCTGGCCCGCCACAGCAGGGAACAGAGAAGGCTGTGTGACCGAGGCAGGGGAGAAGGAGCAGAAACAAGACAAGGCCGCGGTGGCATTTGAATGAGCAACACCTATGAAAATCAGGGGCCGAGACACCAGGTCTGCCGGCTGCTCTCCGGGGCCTCTTCAGGGTCAGGCTGCGTCCTGGGAGTGACTGGCTGGGGTTCTCCTAAACTGTCTTTACAAGTGGTGGTGGGGGGGGTCAGGGGGGTGCTACCCTGTCGCTGACATGGATTGTTCTGAGCTGATCACATCGGGGACAGACACAAGAGAAGCTCGGAGCACTGAGTGCCGTTCGCCGCCTGCATGTCACGCATGGGGGAACCCCCTGGTGAGGGTCTCCCTCCCAGGCTGGCGACCGGCTGGGGAGGGTCTGCTCCGTGGGGAAGCACTTCTGTGTCACCTCCGGTGACCGCCCCGGCCTCCTCCCTCCCCATGTCTGCAGCTGAGCTGGCCCTGAGGACTAAATTCTCAGCCTCTTGGGGTGTCCCCGGGGTCCACCCCCATTGCTGGCTTCCGGGGAGAGCTCCCGGCAGAGGGCTTGGAAGGGTCAGGGAAGCAGCGGTGAGTCAGGCCCCGCCCGCTGTCCTCGGCTTGGCTTTCGTGCCCGGCGCAGACGCTGCATTTTTGACCAGGAAGCGGGCAGCAGCTGTCTCTCGAGCCGGGCCGTGGGCCACGGACCGAGGGCTGGTGCCCAGGGTCACGTTTTACTAACGGGCGGGCGCTGTCGCGATGGCGCAGCCGCAGAGGACAGTGTGGGAACAGCTTGTTTTCTGTTGACTTTGGCAACGCTGGTCCCAGCGCTGTGTGTTTCAAGGGCTCAGGGTCACACCTCGAGATAACGTGCGTTGCGCACGCAGCCACTGCACGCACACCCCGAGCAATAGCGTGACTTCCAGAAGCACGGGAGCCACCGGGAGCCTCCCTTCCCGCGAGGACGGCTTCACCAGGGCCTGGAACCGACCGTCTCACGCAGGGCCTCGGATCTCTGCGGCTTCTTCCCTGGAGCCTGTTTCTAGAAACAGTTTGAGTACGCAGGGACAAGATCAGACACCAACAGAAAATAAGAAAATCCTAACTGCCTCTGACTTCCAGGGAGAAAAAACAAAGGGTCACTCCCGGGAGAATGTTTATGGGGCCTCTCTTTGGGTTGGGGCCCATTATCTTGAGGCCTTGCCCCGCCCCTGACCGGGGAGCCTCATCTTTTCATGGCCAGAGTCCTGGGCCTTCCAGGGGCGAGCGTGACCCGGGCTTCTCACAGCAGCCCCGTCAGCCCAGAACCCCACGCCCTGATTTATTCTGGACAGTCTCCCCCATGTCCACCCTGCTCCCTTCGGTCCTGCTCACCTCTTTACCCTCCTCTGAAGATCCTCTTGGTTTTTTGTTTAAAGATTTATTTATTTATGCACAAGAAGCGGGGTACGGGCGGCGAGAGGTGCAGGGAGTGAGAGGATTCAGGAGACAGAGTGGGGAGCAGAACAGGTGCATCGACTGAAGGCCACTGCTGAGGGGGGCAGTGGGGAGGCAGGAGAGGTCTGCGGCGCCCTGTGGGTCAGGCCCTGCCGGGGGATCGAACTCTGCTGCAGTGTCTGCCGACAGCTTCAGTGCTGACCTTTAACCCCTGCGCCATGGGGGAGGCCCAACCCGCTGGCTCCCAAGACAGATCTGTTGCACAGGAGCAGTGTTTACACTTTAACGACGGAGCCTCCCCTGGAGTCTGGGGGCGGGAAGCCATCGTCTGGATAAGTTCCGGGGATCCACTGACAGGCCTGGAAGCCCCTTGGGAAAGGGATGGGAGGTGAAGGCAAAAGGGAGCGCGACAGAAACCCCACACACAGCCAGAGTCCTAGGCCAGAAACCCCACACACTCAGAGGAGGGTCGGCTTGAGAAAGGAAGGAAGTGTCAGGCTGAGAACGCAGAGGCCCTTCCCAGCCACGCGGGCTCCTTCAGGACCCAGGAGTGGCAATTCGGCGTGTGCACATTCAGGTGGAAAGGCTGTCCCAAGGAGGGACACGTCAGGCGCTATGGGAGGGGGACAGGAAGGAAGGGAAGGTCGTCACGGGGAGGGCTGACGAGCTCTCGGCTTGGACCTGGTTATGCTTCTCTGCGGAGGAAGCGAAGGCCACTGGATGGGGTGACCTGGCCATCAGCTGCCCCGATGACTTCTCAAATTGTGGAGGAACATCCGTAAACAACTGCTTCTGGCCCAGCCCACAGGCCGCTGGCTCAGATCAAGGGTCTGTGACCCAGATGAAGGGGACAGGGCTCCCGCGGCCGCCCCACCGCAGTGCGGCTCACACGCCTGGGCCTCACAGACCCAGAGGCTCTCACTTCCGGACCCCCGTGGCTGCGGGCCTGTGGGTGCCCTGAGAGCCCCACCCCGACCCTCCCCGCCTCCGCCTCGCCCCAGCACTGCGCTGGATGAAGAAGTCCTCCTGGGCCTGCACCTGTCCCCTGGCCGCTCCCCCCTCCCCAGAGCTGACTCAACAGCCCACTGGTTCTGGGCTCAGCACCCCTCTTTAATCACCTAGGGGTTGGGGGGGCGCAGATGTAAATAGTGCCTTTGGCTTCTGGGCTAGCGACTCAGATTCCACACCCAGAATGGGACCCAGAAATCTGCTTTTACGTATTTTTAAGATTTTTTTATTTATGTGTGCAAGAACTGGGGTACAAGCTAGTGGTGCGGGGGACGCGAGGATTCCCCAGAGACAGAGTGGGGAGCAGGACAGGCAGATTGATGAAATGCACTGCTGAGGGGAGCAACGGGGAGACAGGAGAGGTCTGCTGCGCCCTGGGGGTCACTCCCTGGCCGGGGGTGGAACTCATCGGTGGTGGCAGTGGACAGCTTCAGAGTGTGTGACGTAACTAACCCCTCTGCCGGCCCAGAAATCTGCTTTTAAAACACACGTCACGACTGATTCCTGCCCTGAAGGGTGAGTTAGCCTAAGCAGTGCTCCACACCGGCTGCCTTTCTCCCTACACAGAAGCCGGCAGCA